CAATATGATGTATTTTGAATTTTGCACTGCACTGTTTTAGGGTTATCGGAAAACACATGAAAATTAACCATGATTTTATCACACTAACCATTTAACCATAGTAGTTAAATTGTGTGTTAAACAAATGACAATCAATCCGTCAAAATCAATCCATGGTTACTGCACTTTTACTATAGTAAAACCATTGTTTTCTTCCATATTTCCGTAAGGGAAAATTAATGGATAGCCTAATGTCCTGGCAAAAAAGTATCAGTACATTTTACTCTTTTTTTTTTCAGTACAATCATATGCTACAGTTACACAAATATCCTTAAATGTAAAATTTACTTAAAATATGCCTTGATGAATGAAACCATAAAATATTTTAATTCAAAGAGGACAATGGAAGTTTCTGCTTTGAACATGTGGCTACTAAATATACACATGCTTTAAAGTAGCTTTCACTACTACTGTTTATATGTAGTAATATGAAAGATAATAAGCAAAAACATGTAATAACTTAATACTGATCTTCATTATGTTACATGCAGGGAAAAACACAAGCTTCTTTAACGTTCGCGCTGCGCTGTTGTAGCTGATCAGCGCCGCGCTGGTGAGATTAGTTCGTGCCGCGCTGCCAGTTCGATGGCGCTAGCAAACACGTCCTCCCTGTGCTGTCGAGTCGGTCGCGCCGCTCGGTCCATTGACGAACTCTTTATTCTGAGCGTATTTAGCAGAATACAAATGTATTTGTGGTTATATGTTTTTTTTAGCATGTTGCTATTAGTTGCTAAGGTATTTCGATTGTTTTACCATGTAGCTTTTCTGAGTGTTTTTCTGCATTTCTTACCACCTCTAAGTTGTTCTGGGTGTTTGTAGCAAATTGCTAGTTTTTTAAGGCTTTTCTCTACACTCCAAATTAAATAAATAAATAAATCAAATTTAATTAAGTAATTTTTTAAAAACTCTTTAAAAATTGGGGACAGTGTATGTAAATTCAATATGATGTATTTTGAATTTTGCACTGCACTGTTTTAGGGTTATCGGAAAACACATGAAAATTAACCATGATTTTATCACACTAACCATTTAACCATAGTAGTTAAATTGTGTGTTAAACAAATGACAATCAATCCGTCAAAATCAATCCATGGTTACTGCACTTTTACTATAGTAAAACCATTGTTTTCTTCCATATTTCCGTAAGGGAAAATTAATGGATAGCCTAATGTCCTGGCAAAAAAGTATCAGTACATTTTACTCTTTTTTTTTTCCCAGTATAATCATATGCTACAGTTACACAAATATCCTTAAATGTAAAATTTACTTAAAATATGCCTTGATGAATGAAACCATAAAATATTTTAATTCAAAGAGGACAATGGAAGTTTCTGCTTTGAACATGTGGCTACTAAATATACACATGCTTTAAAGTAGCTTTCACTACTACTGTTTATATGTAGTAATATGAAAGATAATAAGCAAAAACATGTAATAACTTAATACTGATCTTCATTATGTTACATGCAGGGAAAAACACAAGCTTCTTTAACGTTCGCGCTGCGCTGTTGTAGCTGATCAGCGCCGCGCTGGTGAGATTAGTTCGTGCCGCGCTGCCAGTTCGATGGCGCTAGCAAACACGTCCTCCCTGTGCTGTCGAGTCGGTCGCGCCGCTCGGTCCATTGACGAACTCTTTATTCTGAGCTCTGAGTGTATTTAGCAGAACACAAATGTATTTGTGGTTATAAGTTTTTTTTAGCATGTTGCTATTAGTTGCTAAGGTATTTCGATTGTTTTACCATGTAGCTTTTCTGAGTGTTTTTCTGCATTTCTTACCACCTCTAAGTTGTTCTGGGTGTTTGTAGCAAATTGCTAGTTTTTTAACACATTGCTGTTTAGTTTCTATGGAGTTGTTATTCAGTTTATAGGCTATACTGAGTGTGTTACATAACTTTTTGCAACATTTAGAAGTAGCCTATTATTGAAATAATAATCCAGATATCACATGCCATTGCGATATGCATATTTTACAGTCTCTTTCATCCATGGGGATTTTTCACCCATTTTATCATCCAGCTAGTGGAAATAACTGATTGCTTAGAAAAATAGTGGCACATCTCTCCAACAACCTGCACAATTTGAGAAATCCGTTCACGTCTTTGGTGCAAATGTTATGGGATGACTTGTTGAAGTTTAATACAAAGCGCCTACGTTTTGCTCAAATCTCTAACCATAAGTATAAGCATTGCTAATAATGGTGCTTTCCTTAATAAGATCCAGTAACTAGTTTTCTTTACAAATTGACCCTGATTTGTAGTGTCTGTTGTAGTTCCATTGAAGCCCCGTGCAATTAGACTGCAGTGGATAAGATGAATACAGGAGGTGGTTGACTGCAGCTGTAGTTTCAATGCGGTCTATTTTAGACCACAACTAGATCTCGGCTCACTAGGAGCTCTTAGTCACAGGTGACTCACACCTCTAATTGTCCACATTGTGTACATTCCGAGGCGACAGTTTTCCCAATTTCTCTCTTATTAACACACGGCACATGTGCTCTGCATATTTCCCCATAAATCAAAAAGGTTACTTGTTTGCGTTCGAAACAGCGAAACCAAAGATCCTGGGTCTTTCTACACTTTTGTTTTGCAGGCTGCTGTTGACATTGTGCAAATCCAGCCATTGTTCACATGTCATTTGGGATCTTTAAAAAAACGAAACATATTGGCCTGAAACTGAAAGGCTGGTTCCCTGGAATCAATTTGCACTGTTCAGAATAAACAAACATTTCATAGATGAAAATTCATTTGAGGCAAAGGTATGCAGTCATAGGCCGTGCATACTTGTCAGTCTCATTAGCCGAGGCTGTGACGTTCCTTTTGAGGGGTTCAACACTTACACTGACCTGGAAATCTCACGTTTCGGTTAAAAGAACCAGTCGTCTTTTTGATAAATGCATAATCTGTTTGTTTACTCCACAATGAAAATATGCATTAGCTTTACCAACTTGAAAATTACAGTGTCATTTGAGCTAAAGAAGCTACAGTTTGAAGATTTCTGCCTTTTTAAAAAAGACAGTAGCTGTGCTTGTATGCCTGTTGGAAGAAAAAGAGGGCCACTTAAAAAATAAAATCAATTTATTCATAAAAATTTTTTCAAATTGACAAATAGACTTATTTAAATAATGTTAAAGGTGCAGTAGGAGATCTTGGAAAATGCTAACTTTAGCCTGATAGCACTGAAAGTGAACGTCCCACCCTCTCTGCAAATTGCATCCAAAGCCACGCCCCCTGAACGCATATACGCTCACAGACCAGAATACCAGAGACAACATTACTACAATACATCATGTGTCATTCACCGGTAAGAAAACGTTATAGTACAGTTAGTAAAAGTACTACAAGACCAGGAAGGAAGATCAGGTTGTTGATGTTTGCCTGCCATTTTCGCTCTGTCTGCACAGCGTACGTGAACGCTCTGAAGACGTAACATGTCTGCGCGAACAGGGTGCGCAGAGGTATGCAAATACACATGTTGACAGGCAGGTAGGAAAGCCAATAAAAATGCTCGGAACGAGCGTTTTGATTGGACGAACATTTCTTTGTCCTACGCCTTCCACAGAATATTTAAATACATATAAATACATTTAGACCACTTAACTTAATGATTGCTATCGGGATGTGAAGAGACTTTCAGCCAGCATACCAAAAATTTTTTCTGAAGACAATCACCTATTGCACCTTTAAGAAATATAATAATGCACTAATAAATCACAGAAAATAGACATCTTTAAAAGTGAATAATGTTTGAAATGTTAGTTAAATGTCACAACATGCTTTTTTGAAATTCATTTTAATGCAATTGTCATGCAGTGTAAATCTTGCATTAAAACGGTTTATGAGTTTTTGTTACATTCAACTACATTTTTCCACAAGAATGAAATAAATAGACCCACTTTATATTAAATGTACAAACATTTAAATTATTCTTTTGATACAGTGCACTTATTGTCTACATACATGTTTTTACATTGTCTTTATTTTATTGTACTAATTTAAAAAATACCTGCATGTAATTACATCTGTAATTCATTTATGTAGTTACAAATTACACATTTCACCCTGACCCTTAACCAACCCTTAAAGGGATAGTTCACCCAAAAATGAAAATTAAATCATAATTTACTCACCCTTGTGTTGTTCTAATGCCTGTTGCCTTTCTTTCTTTTTCGGACCACTAAACCTGACCCTTAACCGTGTCCCACCTTAATAGCAGCAAAAGTGCTTTGCAATTCAACATGAACACAATAAGTACACTGTACCTATAAAATCTTTTTCACAAATACGTAGTAGTTCATAGGGATAGTTCATCCACAAATGAAAAATTCTGTCATTAATTACTTACCCTAATGTCGGTCCAAACCCGTAAGACCTTCGTTCATCTTCGGAGCACAAATTAAGATACTTTTTATGAAATCTGAGAGCTTTCTGACCCTTCATAGACAAAAGTTGCTTGCATTTTTTAATCAGTAAATTGATCATTTGTTTTTATTTTCAAGTGGTTTGCATGTCTGAGAACGTAAGCAAGATGGCTGCTGAATGAACTGACTTTCCTAAAAGGACTTCAAACTTGCTCCAACTCTCCCAACAGAGTATCTGAGAGCAATTAACGATCCAGGCTCTTTGATGCTGCATGTGTTTGAGAACTCGCTGATGTACAAGTGAAATCATGATTGGTAACAAATAAGTGATGCCAAGTTTGATTTTAACAGCATTTCTTTTATTTTCCTCAATGTAGATACTGTATAATAGACCACATAAATGACATAAAAATTCTAAATATAAAAAAATATTTTTAAATTACACTAATCACTGTAGTGTATAAATTCATCTTTAAATAGGTAAATACAGCAGGTGAAACACTCATGCATTTAAGGTTTAATCTTATCAGTTTTGTTGAAAATGTCTGTATTGGTGCAGCTGTAATGAACATGGATGTATCTCTCCTTCTGTGTCTCTCATCAGTCACTAAAGAGCAGCAGGAGGAGACGGTGGGCGCCGCTGCCGTGGCAGTTTCTGCAGAGGGGGAGGAAGAGGAGCAGTCGTCATCCCCTCTTCCTGCGAGCCCTGAGACGGGGGCGGCACAAACATCATCAGCCTCTGGAGAAGCTAAAAGCAGGTCAGAGCAGCATCCTCTCGCCAGGCTGAGTCACCGCCGGCGTGGGTAGCGTGCGCATGCGGACGTGTGTGTGTGTGTCAGTGTGAACGTTTGTGAATGGCTTTGTGATTTAAGCCTGTTTGGCTGTATTGTGCCTTTCTACCAAAATCTCAAAATGGAAGGTCAAACGATCAATGCCTGTTGGCACACTTGTGTGCCGAAGTATGTGTGCATGTATTGCTTTTTGCTACTAGGTTTGGGCGATGTCTACAAAATTGGCATCGGACGATGTCTACAGTGAAACATCGCGATGGACGATGACATCGGCGGGGGGTGGGGGTTTGAGCCCGAAGCATGAATCCTTATAAGGCACAGGAAGCAAATAACGATTCCTAACACTTGTGTCTACACCAGACGCGAGCAGCACGGCGCGACAAAATACTATAGAACCGCTGATCTATAATAGAGATTCATTATATATAGATCAGTGTATAGAACTCATTATAATCAGTGATGCTGTCTACAATGGATGCGCCGCGGCGCAACACGACAAATTCCCGACAGTAAACTGCTGCCACGTTCTATTTATGATGTGCTGACACAAATTTCAAATGATTTTCAATGATCGCTTTGTCGCGTCCAGTGTAGACAGACTTTAGCTGATGCGGCGCGGTGCGGCGCGACAACTGTCGCGTCAGGTGTAGACACAGTGTAACATTTGCCTGTTACATTACAGTACATAAAATTTCACTTACCACATAAACAGAGTAAGGAGAGATGACTGAGGTCGATGGCGAATGATTTGCAGATCCTGAGCACCACTGACAAACATCTAATCTTGTAAAATGTACTTACAAGATCTTGTAATCTTGTAAGTACTGCCGCTCCATAGTTTAACTCATTATAATCAGTGATGCTGTCTACACTGGATGCGCCGCGGCGCAACACGACAAATTTATGATGTGCTGACACAAATTTCAAATGATTTTCAATGATCGCTTTGTCGCATCCAGTGTAGACAGACTTTAGCTGATGCGGCGCGGTGCGGCGCGACAACTGTCGCGTCAGGTGTAGACACAGTGTAACATTTGCCTGTTACATTACAGTACATAAAATTTCACTTACCACATAAACAGAGTAAGGAGAGATGACTGAGGTCGATGGCGAATGATTTGCAGATCCTGAGCACCACTGACAAACATCTAATCTTGTAAAATGTACTTACAAGATCTTGTAATCTTGTAAGTACTGCCGCTCCATAGTTTAAACAGAGTACGCGCGATCGCGAATCTTGAAAGTGAAAGTGAAACTGAAAAACGATCGTGCATTCAAAAGCCGTTTCAATGCCAGGTATAATAGCGGCTCCCTGATGCCCGAAATATATGTAGTATAATTACCCAATGATATAACTGCGAGGGAAAATATTGAAATTAGTACTGTGTATCTTGTTTTTTTTTCCTAGCTGAAAAGATGTATAGTAACTGTTGGTATCAAATAAAAGAAACATAATGCAGAAAAAAGTAAGCTGAAAATACTTATAGTTAACTTATCACAATAGAAGTCAGATGCATTGCATAGCTTATCCTGCTGTTGCATACGTCACATTTTAGCAAATGTGATTGGCAGTCCAGGTATTCTATGCATACTGTGCACTGTATACATACTATATACAGCAGAAATGGTAAGAGTAAGATTTTAGTATGCCATTTCAAACATAGACCTTTTTTGTAACTCATTTGATTGGACCGCCAAAAAGATGATTTGGATTCAAATCCAAAAATGCACATTAACACGTGTAATTGCAGATAACACAAATTTTGCATACTACAATTGTAGTGCGCAAATGCACGCCACATTTTCTTTTAATAAAAACAGCGCATTATGCTGTATAAAGTATATACTGCACAGTATATAGCAGTACATAGCCTTTATTGCTAGTTTGAAATCTTTTTCTTGGGTTTGTCTCTGGGTTTGTAGGCATGTTCATGCACCGTGTCTGTTTGTTTATGCTCTCAGCTGAATGTGCCTCAATGTTGATGTAACACTACAAATTTAAGGTTCCCGTGCCACACATGCACAAACACACATAAACACACAAACCCCTGTCCAAACAGTCAGCTCACCACGGCCGCGGCTCTCCAAGACTCCAGTCCATGAAAGGCTGTTAACAGATTAAAGGCTCTTTGGGACGGACTGTACTGCCCATGAGGGCCAATGATGTGGGGACCCGTTTTATATCTGATCAATATTTATTTCCTCTTTAAGCTGTGATGACAACACAACAACCTCACTGATAACTATTGGAGGATTCACTGCAGTGGTCAAATGTTATGTTTTTGCAACTGCATTAGTTAACTTATCACAATAGAAGTCAGATGCATTGCATAGCTTATCCTGCTGTTGCATACGTCACATTTTAGCAAATGTGATTGGCAGTCCAGGTATTCTATGCATACTGTGCACTGTATACATACTATATACAGCAGAAATGGTAAGAGTAAGATTTTAGTATGCCATTTCAAACATAGACCTTTTTTGTAACTCATTTGATTGGACCGCCAAAAAGATGATTTGGATTCAAATCCAAAAATGCACATTAACACGTGTAATTGCAGATAACACAAATTTTGCATACTACAATTGTAGTGCGCAAATGCACGCCACATTTTCTTTTAATAAAAACAGCGCATTATGCTGTATAAAGTATATACTGCACAGTATATAGCAGTACATAGCCTTTATTGCTAGTTTGAAATCTTTTTCTTGGGTTTGTCTCTGGGTTTGTAGGCATGTTCATGCACCGTGTCTGTTTGTTTATGCTCTCAGCTGAATGTGCCTCAATGTTGATGTAACACTACAAATTTAAGGTTCCCGTGCCACACATGCACAAACACACATAAACACACAAACCCCTGTCCAAACAGTCAGCTCACCACGGCCGCGGCTCTCCAAGACTCCAGTCCATGAAAGGCTGTTAACAGATTAAAGGCTCTTTGGGACGGACTGTACTGCCCATGAGGGCCAATGATGTGGGGACCCGTTTTATATCTGATCAATATTTATTTCCTCTTTAAGCTGTGATGACAACACAACAACCTCACTGATAACTATTGGAGGATTCACTGCAGTGGTCAAATGTTATGTTTTTGCAACTGCATTAAATGATAGAAGATTTGACGTAGCAACATTTCAGCACAAATGAATGTTTGTCCAGTCTGTAGTGAATGGTCACTAAAATAGTTGTTTTCAAGTTGAGGGAGTTTTTTGTCTGTCATGAAGATCTAATGGTTGCACTAGAAAGTTGTGAAGTAGGAGTTACTCATAATATTGCCTTTCACGGTTATGCCTTTCTGTTGTGTCTAAATGTTGTGTAGCTATATTTAAACAAGTTAGCATGAAGCCGTCTCCTCACTCTTATTCCAGTGAGGAGTTCTAGTTTAATTGTTGAAAATTTTCCCATTTTCAGGGAGTGTGAAAATAAAAGACACAGCATGTGTGAATTCTAACACTCCCACACACTTATTAGTAGTATAAACTTTCTTGCTGTCATCTCCTTTGAGTGTAGCGTGTAGAGATTTACACTCAGGTAACTTTTATTCTTTGGAGCTTTTGTTCTCTTGCAGTGTATTTCAGTATGTATGGTACAAATGTAAAGATTCCAGTTCATTGATATCATCGATATCCTTCCTTAAATGCGTTTTTAGAAAGCCGCAGGTTATAAAATGTTTCTGTTTATGCATATTTTACAAAAATAATTATTATAAAAATGGCTTGCATAGTTTCAAAGGATTTAAAGGAGCAGTTCACTGAAAAAGTCAATTCTGTCATTTACACACCCTCATGTCTTTCCAAATCCAAGACTTTCATTCTGTGTTGAAATACAGATGTAGATATTTTCAGTAAAACCAAAAAATTATTGGATGAATTCCAAATAGCCTTTTTTGCGCCTTGAAGGGCACTCGGGGAAGGAGATGTAATTTGAGGAGCGTTCCAAATGAAAAGAGAACAAGTGAATCCCTTCACGAAGGGCCCTTCCAGAAATCCAGATATATATATATATACTGTATATACAGAATGTAATTACAAAATGCATATTTATTTTCAACAACTATAATAACAGTTAGGGATGCACCGAAATGAAAATTCTTAGCCGAAGCCAAACAAAATTAAACACTGGGCCGAAGACCGAACACATTTTTTTGCATTTTCCCCCCCATTTTGCCAATTTTTTTCACCATTGCATAAATTAAATAGCCAAAATGAGCTTAACACGGAACATTTCTAACATTCTAGCAGACATTATACCAATAAAACACAATTTAACTTAAAATAACAAGATAGTAAAATAGTATTTTTTGACCATTTTTGAGACCCCCTTCTTGAATCAGGCATGTATTTTTTACTGTTCAAATAAATGCAGCCTTGCTGAGCAGAAGAGACTTCTTTTAAAACATTAGAAAACATTACAGATCGCAGTCTGAACACTATGTGTGAATGTTATAATAAATGTATTAATAGAGCTGTTGTAATTATTATTATCTTTTTTGTTTTATTTTACAGAACAACAGTAAAATTACAATACAAACATTTATTAACTTTGTTGGAGTTCTTGCTTTTTCTCAGCTTTTATTTGGGCAGAATCCCGCAGGAAGACCTCAGTGCTTCTTTTTGTTGACAACAGTAGATTTATAAATGATTCTCATTACGAATTTGGGAAGACGTTTGTTGCACGTATCGCATTGTCACATGCCTTATAAAAATTCATAAAAATGTTACTGAGCAACTGACGAATAACACTATTTCAGCGCAGATTTTTCTCGCGCTTTGGACTTTGAATCATGCAGCTCTGTTTGAATACATGCAATTCGTTCGTGTATTAGAAAACACATCGTTCTGCAGTTTTATTTAATTGTTTAAAGGCATTTAGCGATTTCAGTCATCATACAGTAACCAGCAACAACCACCCCTTCCACTTCTCATCGGAGACATGCGATGCAGTACTAAACTGTCTCTCGCTGTCGGTGCTTGTAATGATTTTTGCCTCTTTCTCGGACAGTTTTAAATGCTTCCACACTGCCGTCATGTTTGTTGCATTAGTGCGCGCCTCTATTTTATCGCGTCACGTCATGTTCGGTACAATTTATTTGGTCTTTTCGCTTATTGGGGCGAACACCGAAAGAGCTTTTGTTGCTACTTTTGGTCTAATAATTTCGGTTGCCGAACATTCGGTGCATCCCTAATAACAGTAATAGGAAATTTATGTTGTAGTTATTATTTATGTTTAATTGTGTTCTTATGGGTTTGGAATGACATGAAGGTGAGTAATTGATGACAGAATTTGTGTTTTGAATTTGGAATAACTCGTGAAAGATTTACTGAATGGGCTTTGTTTGTGTGAATAACTTAATAAATTGTTGTCTGTGGGAAAAAAAGGTTGATCACGAAGACCCCTAAGGTATTATTTTCTTAATAATATAAGCTACGCAATATCGCGTTCATTATCGCAGACGAATTGCCTTCAATTATGAACGTGATATTGCGTAGCTTGTCAGTGATCTACGGCTCTGTGTAGTAAATGCCACTCCATCTGAAAGCAGGTGATGGAGATTTACTACTAATCACAGAACCGGCTTCACTGACGAGATGTGCATGATAATCGCATGTGATTTATCGTGCAACCCTACTGGAGACGATTGTCATGCTTTTTGCATAGTTCATTATACTTATTTAATGGATATTTTGTGACTTAAATTACATGTTACTCAGACACTGACATATTTGGCTGGTCAAAAGCGTTACACTGTCGCAAAATCAATGACTGTTTTTTTTTTTCTTTTGAAATCCACAAAAGTGGTTTTTATTGTCTCTAATAACAAAACGCGTATGTTGAAACCCCTGCAAATGCATATCCTGTTGAAATCAATAGTGAAATCTTTTTAAAACTGTAGTTCCATTATTACCTCTTAGCAGATTTTGACTCATGTTGTTTATATGTTATACACTGAGTGAAAATAAGTATTTTTTTATTGCAATTGTTGCAGTTTTGCATCAGTAGATCTCTGAGGGTTAAAGGAACGTTCAGCATTCAACCGAAACATTCCTTCAAACCCATTAGAGAACTGTACTGTAATATATGCCATCTCGTTTCACTGGCTAACCGCGCTCCTCTCATCTCCTCACAGCGAACAGCTCTGTGCCTTCTGTTACTGCGCTGGTCGAAGCCTGTTGGGCCAGGGGGATCTGAAGCCATTCAGGGTCACGCCCGGATACGACCCTCCACTTCCACAATCCTCTGCAGAGGAGGGCCACGACCGTGACGACAAGAGTGGGGCTGCCAGCCAATCAGGGAGGCACAGGGGCCCAGAGAGGTAAGCTGATTGGCTGAGGCGAGCAGGGCTGTCTTATGACATCAGCTGTTATGTTTAAATGAGCTCAGCTAAATGGGGCTTCTCTCACAACTGTTTTTTTCTTCTCGGCCGGCCCCTTTGAAATAGATTGGATGCTTTTGGCCATTGTTAGAGAGAGGAAAGTGTTACGTGTGTGTGTGTGTGTGCGTTTGCGCTCTCTGTGACGGTGTTTGTAAGGGCTCTTCTGAACGGTAGGCCTGTTACCGGCTGCGGGGCGCTGATATCTGACGTCACTGCTTGAATCATCCTCATCTGGATGAGATTTCAGGCAGAGACTGTTTGAAAACGGGTTATTCCAGTTGAAAACTGCACGCAGTGCTCTAGTATGTGTGTGTTTTTGCTTAATATCCTGGAGACAGACTCATATGAAGCAAACACAGGATTTGTCCTAAAGTGACCCTCTGCATCGTCTCAGCAAATGGCAATGCTTATTTGTCCCACATGCTTTCATTTAAAGTTCAGTGTCTCCTAAAGCTATGATATGATTGTAGTACGCTTCTGTTAGTATTGGTAGTATACGGTTGGTAGGATTTTAAAATGTTTTTAAAGAAGTCTCATACTAGCCAAGGCTGCATTTATTTGATCAAAAATACAGTAAAACCTGTATTATTGTGGAATATTATTAACATTTAAAATAGTCTCTAAAATACATATTTATATATTTTAAAACATAATTTATTGCTGTGATGCAAAGCTGTATTTTCAGCATCATTACTCCAGTCTTCAGTGTCACATGAGCCTTCAGAAATCATTCTAATGTGCTGATTTGCTGCTCGAGAAACATTTATCATTATCAGTGTTGAAAATAGTTGTGCTGCTTAATATTTAGCTTAAGGATTTTTTTATAAATAAAGTTCAAAATAGCAGCATTTATTTTAAATAGAAATTATTTAATTCATTTAATTATTTTAAATAGTTATAATCATTATCGCCACGTTAATTTAATTCATCCTTGCTGAATAAAAGTATTATTTTAAAAATTAAAAATTAAATCCTGCTGACACCAAACTTCTGAATGGTGTAAAATGCATACTGACATTTACCTTTTATTTATTTTGTGATGATATGTGCTGGTTGACTGTATGTTATAAATTGTATATTTAAATGACTGTAAAAGCTATATGTTGTATATAGCAGTCAAACATTTGGAATAAATTATGATTTTTAATAATGTTTTTGAAAGTAGTCTCTTTTGCTCACCAAGGCTGCATTAATTTGATCATAATACATTAAGTAATATTGTAAAATACTATCCTAATTTTAATTAGTTTTCTGTAATATTTGTGAAAATGTATTTTCTTAAAGCTGAATTTTCAGCATCATTACTTCAGTCTTCAGAGTCACATGATCCTTCTGTAGGTGTAGGTGAAATAAGTATGAAACATTATTGGCATAATTTGCCATTTATGTTGTCCTCTACATTATGAACTAATCTAGCCCGTATTTTGTATGTTTGTTTAAACAATAAACAAATGCCATGTTTGAGCTGCATTTAATGGCATAGTGCTACAGCAACATTGTTTACACGTTACGTGTTAAATAACGCGGCATTATGGGGATAGATGTAAATCCTGAGGCCTGATCTTCATTCACAAAGGTGTGAACACGCACATGGCTGTTTGCTTTTCTGCGAGCGTTCTCCCCGAGCTGATCATTACCCAGCAGCTATTGGGAGTCACAGAGCGAGATGTGAGACGCCGGCCCCAGCGTGTGCTCAGCCCAACAAAGGGCCCTCTCCCTGCTCTCTCGCACAGCTGCCTAATTTGTCTTGGCTCTTTGGAGCCAATCAGCCATCTCCCAGGGGCCCGTGTGACGTAATGTGCTGCCAGTCTGATGTTGGCGGTTCGCCAGCCCTGCTGAGCTTTGTCATCTGTGGGTTGCTTTTCAGCATCATTACTCCAGTCTTCAGTGTCACATGAGCCTTCAGAAATCATTCTAATATGCTGATTTGCTGCTCGAGAAACATTTATCATTATCAGTGTTGAAAATAGTTGTGCTGCTTAATATTTAGCTTAAGGATTTTTTTTATAAATAAAGTTCAAAATAGCAGCATTTATTTTAAATAGAAATTATTTAATTCATTTAATTATTTTAAATAGTTATAATCATTATCGCCACGTTAATTTAATTCATCCTTGCTGAATAAAAGTATTATTTTAAAAATTAAAAATTAAATCCTGCTGACACCAAACTTCTGAATGGTGTAAAATGCATACTGACATTTACCTTTTATTTATTTTGTGATGATATGTGCTGGTTGACTGTATGTTATAAATTGTATATTTAAATGACTGTAAAAGCTATATGTTGTATATAGCAGTCAAACATTTGGAATAAATTATGATTTTTAATAATGTTTTTGAAAGTAGTCTCTTTTGCTCACCAAGGCTGCATTAATTATTATCAGTGTTGAAAATAGTTGTGCTGCTTAATATTTAGCTTAAGGATTTTTTTATAAATAAAGTTCAAAATAGCAGCATTTATTTTAAATAGAAATTATTTAATTCATTTAATTATTTTAAATAGTTATAATCATTATCGCCACGTTAATTTAATTCATCCTTGCTGAATAAAAGTATTATTTTAAAAATTAAAAATTAAATCCTGCTGACACCAAACTTCTGAATGGTGTAAAATGCATACTGACATTTACCTTTTATTTATTTTGTGATGATATGTGCTGGTTGACTGTATGTTATAAATTGTATATTTAAATGACTGTAAAAGCTATATGTTGTATATAGCAGTCAAACATTTGGAATAAATTATGATTTTTAATAATGTTTTTGAAAGTAGTCTCTTTTTGCTCACCAAGGCTGCATTAATTTGATCATAATACATTAAGTAATATTGTAAAATACTATCCTAATTTTAATTAGTTTTCTGTAATATTTGTGAAAATGTATTTTCTTAAAGCTGAATTTTCAGCATCATTACTTCAGTCTTCAGAGTCACATGATCCTTCTGTAGGTGTAGGTGAAATAAGTATGAAACATTATTGGCATAATTTGCCATTTATGTTGTCCTCTACATTATGAACTAATCTAGCCCGTATTTTGTATGTTTGTTTAAACAATAAACAAATGCCATGTTTGAGCGCTCACCAAGGCTGCATTAATTTGATCATAATACATTAAGTAATATTGTAAAATACTATCCTAATTTTAATTAGTTTTCTGTAATATTTTTGAAAATGTATTTTCTTAAAGCTGAATTTTCAGCATCATTACTTCAGTCTTCAGAGTCACATGATCCTTCTGTAGGTGTAGGTGAAATAAGTATGAAACATTATTGGCATAATTTGCCATTTATGTTGTCCTCTACATTATGAACTAATCTAGCCCGTATTTTGTATGTTTGTTTAAACAATAAACAAATGCCATGTTTGAGCTGCATTTAATGGCATAGTGCTACAGCAACATTGTTTACACGTTACGTGTTAAATAACGCGGCATTATGGGGATAGATGTAAATCCTGAGGCCTGATCTTCATTCACAAAGGTGTGAACACGCACATGGCTGTTTGCTTTTCTGCGAGCGTTCTCCCCGAGCTGATCATTACCCAGCAGCTATTGGGAGTCACAGAGCGAGATGTGAGACGCCGGCCCCAGCGTGTGCTCAGCCCAACAAAGGGCCCTCTCCCTGCTCTCTCGCACAGCTGCCTAATTTGTCTTGGCTCTTTGGAGCCAATCAGCCATCTCCCAGGGGCCCGTGTGACGTAATGTGCTGCCAGTCTGTTGTTGGCAGTTCGCCAGTCCTGCTGAGCTTTGTCATCTGTGGGCCGCACTATCGAGCAGCAGGTCTGAATGTGGAGAAGTGAGACGACGGTGGAAAAAGGCAGTTTTAAGGGAATTTCTGGATTGGTTCATTTGCAGCAGCATGATAGAAAATTAACATAGATTTATGATATTGGTTGGAAAATATTGCATTTCATGTAATTGTCATGAACCACTTTTTTTGTTTTGTTTTTTAAATTGAGCCTATTTTTTAAAGGGCTTTTTAAAAAAGATTTTCCTTTTGACAATTAACTGCATTTTTGTCCCCCAGTTGTCCCTGTACTTTCTTTTGGGAAGTAGTCATTATAATTATTAACCTTATGATAAATAGTTTGTCCCAAAATCGAAAGAAATTTCTTTAATCATTAAGAAATTATTATTTCCATTATGAAACCTTGTGTTAAATATTATATATATATATTTTTTTTCATTCATTCATTATGGCTATTTTTATAGTAGTTAACCACCTTTGTTTCCCTTAGATGTTTGTATATTTCTTAATTATTTTGGGAAATATTTATTATTAACTTTATTAACTAGTATATTTAGACATTCACACACAATTGATACCATATCAATTATTGGTCAATATTTTTTTCTTTATCAGTATCAGCCCGTATTAAAGCTGCAGTGCGTAACTTCTTTGGTTAAAAATGATTCGAAATCAATATTTGAGCAAGTACAAAACCAGCCAGTGTTCAAAACTATCGCCTTACTTTAGCCCGATTCACAACGCTTAGCTTATAATAATGTTTTCTAATTTGAGTGGTACGGGTAAGGTTTTCGCGGGAAATTCGAGCATGGCACTGCGTCATTACATCACGTCTGTAAACATAAAGAAGATGTCCCGGCTACTAGGCTATCACATGTGAGGATCCTGCAGGTGGCCGATCGTTTATAGCCTTTTCTCACAGCAGCCAGAATAATTAAATGTATCATTTTGATGGCGGATTGTAATTTTATGAAAGTTTATGAAAATCATGTGAATGAAATTAAATTATATTATATATATATTTAAATGTGCTTCTGATTACAGATAGCCTGGGATTACACAATATTTGTATTTTAAAGACAACCAGTTCGAAGGGAGCATATTTTGCCTTTTGGGTTAAAAGAATTTCTTAGTATGAAAGTCGAGTGGTATGACAATTAGAGATTACTGTACAGAAATTGAAATCTACTCGC